TGGTTTTGACAGTTTTTGAGGAGCAGGAATATTATGTTCAAGTAACTGACAAACGCATACTTTGTATCTCACATTACCAGTAAAATGAATGCAATATGTTGGCCATTCTGAAAAAGCGTGATAAACTCCACTCCTGCGCCAAATTTGACACTTCTATCGTAAAATGCTCGGTTGTTGTAAATAGTTTCATCTTAACTGCTGCACTAAAGGGTCACAGTGAAGAGAGGGAATGACAAATTGATAAAGCCGTGAAGTGAGGTACCATCCATTTACTGCTCCCTATGGAACTTCCTTTCGTAGACGGCACCAAAGCTGTAACCGAGATCAGAGGGCCAGGCTTCATGACCTGTGTCTGGTTGTGTTTGGGTTCACCTTGCTTTAATAAACACCTAGACGCAGGGAGAGGCCCTGCTTCCCCAAACACAGCCCTCTTGCACAAATGCACAGTCTAAATAACCTCACGCACCATGAACACACAGGGCATGTGTTGATAGTGTTTGTGTGGAACCATTTCTGTCCGAACCCCACCCTCCCCAAGTGTCTCACAGGTGCATCTCCGCTCTGCCGGTCTGCTTTGGCTGGCTGGCATGTCGGCCTGGCCCCAGATTTACTGCCCTGACACAGGAATCCATTAAAGGCTGTTTAGGGATCCCAGGCCTGAGCCCCTCTGAAATCTCTTTCATTATTGCTCCAAGCTACCATGGAAGGGGAGCGGCTTGGCCAATCAGCAGTGCCACCACATGTGTTCGTGTTTAGCCCGATGGCTGAGAGGCTTAAGTGGCTACTGCACACATCTCCTCCGCTGACTTTTATGGAGAAAATGGCACTTTAACTCTTTGTGTTTTTTTGTAATAGGGTGCGTATGTGACCGAGTGTGTATATGTGAGTGTGTGTGGGTGTGTATGTCTTCCCTGGCCGAACACAGGCCCTAAATGAGGCCAGGCCAGCCACACGTTACATTCCGCCTGTCTGGCTGGCACTGCGTCGGCTAATCAAGACCGGCTTGGTTCACGGTTCCAATACTGATTCTGACCCCCCCCCCAACAATTCCCATCATTCTTTGGGGCTTTGAGGAATCTTACCTCACCTCTCAATATTTCCTTCCTTCCTTTTTTTATTCATTCCCTTCCTCCTTGGTTCTTTTGGTCATGTGTTCTGTTTTTTGCCTTTTCATTTAAAGTGTTTCTTTCTGTTCTTCACCTTTGTGTCTCTGATTCCGCCTCTACCATAACCACAACACAAGCACACAGACACTACTGTCTTCACTTCTTAAACACACCCCTGTGCTCCGCTCATGTTTAGGCTTGTAAAGAACCTTTTCCTCAGTGCTGGGCTTTGATAATGTGGCTAACGTGAGTGCAGAGAAAATCAGAGAGGTGGATCTAAGCCACACACACAAAAAAACAGGGAAAACATGGCAGTGTCCCGTAAAGCTAACGCACACTGGTTGTTAGCAGTGCTAGCATTTTAAGTGTACCCATGAGTGCTTGAGACTGAAGGAAAATTTGAGATCTTAGCATAAAAATGTACACAGGAGGTGTGCAGCAATATGTGAGAAGATAAATGGGCAAAATGCAAAGAGTGTAAATTACAAAGTGAGATAGTGTTAACATAAGTGAACATGCACATGCAGTGAGAGAGGAACATGTGCGTCGTAGTGGAAGGCATGTTAATAAGTGGCCTGGGGCAGATTTGGGCTCCCATGGGGAGAGTCCTGCCCTGCTCTGTGAAGCTTCTGTCTCTTTTTTAACCCGCCCATTAAATGTGGTACACAGGTGGCTTATTAAACCCACTGTGTTAGACAACTACAGTACACACTGATCATTCAACACTCTGCAATGACAAATACAAAATCACATGCACTGGTGTGTGTAATGCAAATGATTAATGTAGTTACCCATATCTTAACTCACTCTGCGTAAGTAGCTTGTAGTTCACATATAATGCTGAGTGTGATAAAATACTGCAGGGGAGCCTAAAGATTTTTATCCCTAGACCCAAATTTGACAAATTTAGTCTCAACCCTAATTCATAAAAAAAAAAACTAGTACTCTTGCCTTATGGGGACCCACCAGACCTGCATCTTTTCTATATCTGCTTCCAAGCTGTTGTTTTATGAAAACACTATATTATGTCTAGACTCCATGTTTAGGGAGACACAACCACCCGCCCCCCCCGAGTCCACTTATATTGTTTTATCATGTTATTCTTTGCGTCTAACTACATCCACTTTCTTTGTTGTTCTCATTAACAGCAGAACTTGAACAAGTCTCCCATGAGCATGGGCCCTCGAGATCTTGGCTACGGGCTTGATGACGATGAGCTGGACACTGCAAGCAAGTAAGTACTCCTATTTTTATGACCTATTGCTTCACAACATTTTGTCATTGAAGCCATTTTCATGTTGTATCAAGTATGCATGCCATTTATATTAAGATACGAGAACATTTAATCTGACTGATTAATTTTAGAAAAAGAGAAAGAAAAAGTTGATTGCAGGTTCAAAGTTGCTTTTCCAAGGAGATTCAGCCCCTTTTTTACTTATGATAATATTGCCCCCAAGTGGACATATTTAGTAACAACATTAGTTGACAGAAACATCAGTCATACACTATAACTACTTCTTCTCAAAGGAACTAGTTATCACAGTGTAATTGTTGACTTGTTCTCAGTGATATTCATAACAATACATTAGTACAATGAGTGAAACACTGTTTAACTCTGCTCTGTCCCTTTCGCTTCCCAGGATCTCCTCGGAGGACAGCGGGGATGTCCCTTCGTACATCGAGGACAGCGATGATTCCTACTCGCTAGAACTGGACATCGATTCCTCCCGCTCAGGCCAGATGAACCTGCTGGAGGAAATCCTGGACTCTCTGAACACCACAACGATGGAGCAAGGCAAACTCAGCACTGCCAAGAGCCTGGACTTCTTCAGGTCCATGGAAGATTTAGACTACAAGGCCCCGGTACGTAAGAAAGACTGGAGGGAGGCTAGATTATGAGAAGGCCTCTGTTGTTATTTACATTTTCAAGACTTAAAAAAAGAGGGCAGAGAGATGTAACAGAAAGTGTCCAGACAATACATACATTGATAGATGGGTGGAGATAGACAGCCATTAAGTCTTAAAACAAATAATGTTGGGTCCTTTCAAAATAATCAATTTCAAATAGCTTTTTGTGCACAGCATCTCCACTGTTATATCTGTATTAACCCCAGAGGTACCATATATCTGATTCTCAAATTCTCCTATTAGCTTAAAAGAAATGATGATATTTTCTGACTTGGGGAATTAAAAAATGAAGAAATACTTCAACACCTTCTGTAGATAGTAGTTTACAAAAGCATAAATAATAATTAACAAAGGTATTCAGTGAACTCCTTACAGACTCTTTCCCCATTGAGTATAATGGGACTCGACCAGACGTAAATGCCCACACGTTGCTTGGATCGCCATAACAACAAGGAGGTTTTTACAGCCAAGCACGATAGCTCATTTGCTAAGGATCAGGGCTTTTCATATGTTGACTATTGGGATACACCGATCGGTGCATGTGCCGTCCTAATTTAAACAGTGTGCAGAAAGCTGGCAGTAAGATGCACATGACATAGTGTTCTCGCTCACATACTTCATAAAAGCAGATATTTGAAGAAATCCAGGTCTGTTCATAAAGGTATTTGTTTAATTTAGTATTTCCTTCCGTTACAGAGCAAGCTCACACCTTCCAGCGACTCTAAACCTGCAGATGAGAGTGGCTGCGGTGCAGGCGGGGATCAGGGTGGCTGGAATATGGGCCAGGATGACAGCGCAGTCCACGGAAAACACCTTCCCCCATCACCGCGCAGACAGCCCAACAAGAGCAGCCTGAAGGTGTCAAAGAAACCGGCGACAGCTCTTGCAGTGCCCGTCATCACAGCTACACCTCCAGCCCAGGACACTGACATCTCCAAGTCACGTCCTCGTCAACCCAGCTCTGACCCTCAGCTTCTACCTCCAGGGCGACAACCAGGAGACCGCTACTCCTACTCGCCTTCAATGTCCCATAGAGTTACACCGATGCCGCCATCCCCCTCTCTCTCCCATACCTACAGTTCTCCAGAAAATTATTCTCCTGTACCAGCGGCACGGCCTCGGACCATCTCAGACCCACAAACCAGCACAGAGCTTCCTCAGGCCCAGAACCAGACTGCCTCCACCAGCATCCTGAGGAGGAAGGTGCTGTCCAAGGAGACAGTGAGGCACTACCAGGAAAAGGCCCTCCAGAGGCAGGGCAGCAAGGTCCACCAGGAGGGTCAGGGGAGCCCGGCAAGTAACAGCCATTCAGCTATGCAGGTCCCATGGGAGAAAGAGGTGTCCAAGGAGGGGCTCCTGGGGCTCGGCCTGTGTCTGGGTCAGGGTAAAGGCTCAGGGGCGGCTGTGGTGCAGGATCAAGGCCTCCTCGAGGAGATTGAGTCCATGTGTTGCCTCAGCTCAGTCCTCCACACCAGCCTGCAGCTCTCACAAGTTCACTGCAACAACAGTCACCACCAGGTCCAGGGCAAAGCCACAGACGAGTCGTAGGGATGTCAAAGACTCAATGTCTGTAAAACGCCATAGGTTCTACTGAAATATATTCACTTTAATTCTTCTATTACTATTAGCCGCTATCTCAACAACGAGATCTTTTTTTATCTCAACACTCAGCTATCAGGAAATATTACGGACAAAGTTGATGTCATACAGGCAGAGTAACAACAGAGTCACAGCCACTAGAGCAGGAAATAGGAAGAGGTAAATTAGTGCACTGCACAAGTCTCCATCTTTTCAAGACATTTCTCTGTAAAATAGAGCCCTAGAAACCTTATTTTCTTCAAATCTGCCACCACAGTAAGAATGTTTAAACCTGTTTTCAATAACTATGAACTTGTTTCAAGAATGTTCTTGAAATGAATGTCTGTATCTTCAATACACGTAAATATCTCTAACACTTATAATACATTGATTTACAATGGAAACCGGTTCAAATGATCTTACTACAGTGGCAGGTTTTTTCACATTCAATGCAGGATAGGTGCTTTTCCTCTGAGTGAATTGAATATTTAGCTTAAGTGACAAGATGTGAATTTAGAAAGTTAAAACAAGTGAATTATGTTGTAAACTTGGCACTTCAAAAACACAAACTGAGGCCATAGTACTTAGATTGCTTTGTGTTTTTGGAGTGCTGTGAGATCAGATTTTTTTGAAACTCAAATGCAAACAAAAAAAGACTTGATAAGAAGGATGTTTTTGCAGTGTGTTTACTGCTCATCATAGTATTTCTGTCTGTAATCATCTAACTTTATGGATAACACATATTATTTTCCTGTGTTGTATTTTTCATCGTGTAACTATTCACAATGCAATACCTGGGGGGAAAAAAGACCCATTAATTACATTATGGGTAAAATATGAGTCTCCAACCGGAAATTGAAGAATTTTCCACCTTCACTTGAGAAAAGAAGTCAGAGTACTTTTTCAGGATTAAGAAGGGATGCAACACACCATTATGTCAGTCCTTTACTCACAGTGTTCCAAACATTTCACATGATCAAATTAAATTTGCACTTGTAGATTAAAAAATTGTACTCAGAGTCTTGACCGCCTGATACTAAAATCATTTGAGCAAACACAACAAAATGAGGCAGGATTTTCAGACTCAAAGTCCACTCTGGCCTTTGAAACTAATTATACACTGTGTAATTTAAATGTTTGTTTTCTATCACCATGCCTTAAATGGACATGTGATTTGTTTTTAATACTCTGGTGTCTTAATCCATAGATACCATAACAGGTACTTTGTAATCAGATTTTCCGATTCTCTCAGATCGTAAATGCAACAGTTAACAATTATTAAACAGCACTGTGTTTCTCTGGATTATTAGAATAGTTAATAGACCTATAATAGTAGGGTACTTGAATAGTATACACTATAGTTATAGTATAGTATAAATAGTATTTATATATAATAGTGATGTGCTTTAAGGCTGCCTGTTTTAAATTGCCATTCCAGATGGAGATGTGCATGTTGCAACCATCTTTCTCCCTCTGCCCTCTTGCTGTAGTTCCTCCAAGACACTTCTGTCACTCTGAAGAGAAGCCAAAGACAGTCAGAAAGTTACAAGCTGCGCTGGTCTGGAAAATGCCAGGGTCAATCCTCCATGTCCTGTTTCCTTTCTCCTTTGTTCACAATTTTCAATCATCACGCTCCCCTCATGGTGTCTGTCCTTAATAATTCTGCGGTATTCGTCCTTCAGGCACCATGTAATTTTTCACCTCTGGACCTTAACAATTGGGACAGTTGCTGGTTTGGAGGGGTGATGTGGGAAAATGGGAGCTTAAAAGGATAAGGGGCCGGTGATATTCTAACACTTTCTAACTGCTCAAAACAAATCCCACAAAACAATGCATCCTTCTCGGGTTGCTTTCAGATTTCTGTATCTATCCCCAAGCCCATTTGTTCCTACTGAAAACATAAAAAATAGTTTATAGTTTCAGTTTAAAAAAAAAAAAGGCTCAGTCATTTCTTAAAATAGTGGAAAACTGTAGATTTGAGCAAATTTGACTCAAGCAGGAGTAAATAGTGCATTTTTTGGGGACTGTTGTCAGCTGTAGATTATTTGTAAGTAGGATAAATTCATTTTTGGTTTAGGTCCTTTCATTTTATTTATTCATATTAAGAAAAATATACAATATCACCAGACTTATCACATAACAGAGTCTTTGTCTTTCTCTCTGTCTGTCTTCATGTCTTTGCCCACAGGAGGAAATGCAATCTCTGTCCTTCTAGGTTAGAGTCACACACTGTAAAGTAGTGTGCAGTGTTTGATGATTGTACTGTAATGAAGCAATACGGTTCTCCTCGGAGAGTAGCTACATGGATGTAATGTGTACAGAGTCAAAAGTATTTCTATAACAGACTCTCCTGTGGAGAGAAACGCCCGCGTCCAGAGGTTGTGGGTTCCCATCATTCCCTGTGCCGCCGCAAACCCAGAGAAAAGAAGAAAGCTTTTTCATGTGCTTGTGTTGGGATTATTACATTTATGGTTCGTTGTTCTCATGATTTATGCCAGACGCCAGTCGGTGTGGCAGTTTAATAGCAGCTATTTCTCCGCTTTTTGAGTGCTGCTCTGCGTTAACGATTTGCTCATAAAGTCTTTGGCGTGCTTCTAAAAGCCCAGGAATCAGTCTTAGTAATTCCAAAAAGGAGAAAAAAAACAGTCTCCAGAACAATCTTTGCACTGGCCTTATTCAGTGTAAACACTTTAAATAAAACTTATTTACTATGCAAATATTTAAAATTATTAAAAAAAAAGGTCAGTTTTTTTTAAAGTAATTATATTATAAAGCATTATTCTACTTGAAAAAAATCACTCAATCAATAGGAGTAAGCCTAATGTGTCCCAAAATAAATAAATATCAAAGTCTATTTAATTGTGTGTGAGCTGAGGTGTGTCTGCGGGTGTTAATGACAGAACGGTGTGTATGGTGTGCCTTATACAGTAAGAGTACCACCCGATAATCAGAACAAGGTACAGTATTATATAAAGGAGATGTATGCAATGTTTTCAGACCACCTTAAATCACAGTTAGGAACATTTATTTATATAATAAGCAGACGTGAAACCTGTTTTTGGTCCTTTAGAAACTGACCTGAAATGAACTTGGGTACTAGCATTGTTTTTTATAGCTGTTTTGTTTTTGAGTTTCGGCTGCGGTCCAGCTGGAGTTACTCTGTGTTTTTCTTTGCTGCGGTGGTCGGTGGGAATCTTCCTGCCTGTATTTAAGAGAAGATGTCTGAATTTCTCTGGGTTATTTGATTTTTTGTAAATTAGGTACTTTCTTTGGTTGTACTAATAGGTGATTACTTGTATAGTTTTTGCTCTCTTTTTTTTCCTTTCCTCTTTTTTAAAAAAATCTTGAACACTCATTCTGAGCCAACTGTATTGAAAAAAACATTTCTCAGAGGAGTTTCTCTAGTTGATTTCATATTGATGAAAAATTATTTTCAGCTGAATAGACGTGTATTTTTGCTGGCTTGAGTTTATTTTACATGGATAATATATAATTGGTGTTGTGTTGTAGAAAAATGACACCTAATATTTGAATGTTTTAGATTTTATTTTTGGAAGATAAAAATAGAGAATATTAACAAACGTCCCATGTAGCCATTCATGTTCAGAAGCATTTGACACCTTCTAATCAAAATAAGCAGAGACTGACGCTTGCTGTACATGGTACAATGCTTATTGTTGTATCTGCATGTATGTACCTGTATGTTGTATACTATGATTTTGTTTTGTTTAGTATAACAGATGTGGTCTATTCTGTTGGTATTAATTATTATTTCAGTATTTAGCACTTCCATGAAATCGAGAATGATGGAAAGAACATTGGATCTCGTACAATACACTCATTCTGCCTTGCATATGGGTATTGTAGAGTGAAATGTCATCTGCCTGGCATTTTCTGTAGAAGAAAACATTTCTACTTTGGTTACTGGCTACTGTAAATCTAACCGTAGAGGTTTGTGGGGGGGAAATACTTGAGCAGTCAGCTGCTGTTAAGTGATATGAAAAGCTTTAGTAACTCTGGTCCAGTTTACACTAATGTTGTACAACAATGAAGAAATGATTGTCAGGGGATATGCATTTCAGTATCTGCAGGTTTGTGATAACTAACTTATACTCTGCTAAAAATAGAGTGTTAAGTTATGAATATATATATGGTAAGTATAATTGTCCTGAAATTACAAATTTTGATAGAGTGGGAGGTGACAGATTATGTAGCAGCTTTTACTGAGGTACTATGGAGTGAGAGCACAGGTTAACAAAGATATTATGACTTCCCCCTTAACCACACATTAAAAAAACTCAGTGCTCAGTGTAGTGACAACCTTGGACAAGTCACAGTAAGCAACATTTTCCTTTTTTTCAGTCTCTATTTTGGGTATTGTAATGATGATTAAATCTTCGGTATGCCATTTACTGATTTTCTGATTCTGTGCACACTTGCATGTTCTCATTGCAGAGAAAACAACTGTCTTAAACAACTGAGGTCAATCTAATGTGCTATTCATGAGTAACTTGGTACTACTGCACATAATGTATGCACTGTGAACTGAAAATAAATTATACTGTTTCATGCTTTTGCATCTCTGGACTTTTTTTATTCTAAATTCTGTATTACCATAGATAGAACCACAGTATGTGTTAAGAAACAATGTATTTTACTGACGAAATAGTCAGGGTGGTAGCCTATATTGTGTATTCACAGTTCACAAAGACAATGCTGGTTTATTGAGTAGTATAGTGTAGTTGTGTGTGTGTGTGTGTGTGAGAATATCAGTCGGCATTGGCTTATTGATTTACCTAACACTAAAGTCAAAATTCTTTCTTACAGTAGCACCACATTGTTCCTAAATAAACCTGCAATATTTTGTTGACAAAAAAATTAACACAAATCACTTTAATGAACCAGCACATTCTCTATGTACAATTGCTAACAAGTGAAGGTAGCAATAAAGTTCACAGCAATAAACAATAAACAAACTCATCATCACAGTATATACACTGGAAATTACACCGCATTCAATACACAGTTCTTGTTTCTAACAGCATATAAATCAACCTAGAAGAAACTAAGAAACTATTCTTTACTAGTGCAACTTGAAATCTGACTCTTAGAGGACATTATTCTGTCAGTAAGGAGCTACAGTATGGAAAGTCCAGTGGGAATGTTCACTGAAAATGAAAAATAAATCAATACTTGCAGCAACACTCAACGTGTAGACAACACACAAAGAATTTGAAAGGCATTTTTTCTGTAATAAATACAATTAAATTGCTGAAGGATGAGTCTTATTGTCAACAAATCCCATTAAAAGATAAAAAACAACAACAATGAATTGATCCTGTTATAAGTATTGTCTGTGAAGCCAAAACTGACACTTGACTTGACATGTTTCTTCACTACAATGATTCTGGTTTAATTTGAAACAATCGCACAAACACTGCTGCTGTAAATACTTACCAAATGTGTACTAATCCACCTCTGAAAATAGTCCCCAAAAAATGCACTACATACTGCTGTTTGAGTCATGTTTGCTAAAAACTACACTGCCCTGTTGTTTTAGGAAATGACTGAGCTTTGTAAGGATTTATCTGTTTCCAGATGATGCTTTAAGACAATGTGTCCCAAATACTGATCAGTTTTTACTACTTACTGATTGCTCACTGGTCCATCAATCCTAATAATATGGATCAGACACAAAGATGTGACAGACTCGATACATTCTGAACTCAAATCTTTTAAATTTAGATGGATGCACTGCTGGATGCTGAAGCCAGGTGCAAAACATTGCAGGAAGATGGATGGAGCGCTGGGATATGCAATTACACAAAAAGGGTGTCACAAGAGCTCATACAGCATGTGCATATGCAAATGAAAAGCGACAGCTGTAATTTAAAACGGAGCTACTGTGAGAGGAAGACCGTGTTTACATGCAGGCTGCAGATATTCTTCTACAGAGTTCAGCAGTCTCTTGCTTCAATCTAAGTTATGTATCTGTTATCAGGCGTATTTCTGGCATTAGCTCCTTTATTGCTACAATAACAACGTCCCCCTCCTGCATGTAAACACAGTCTCCGCCTGCATCTCATATAAGTCTCTCCATAGGTGGCGGCTGGGTGATGCTCCACATTTCCACCCGTGATCCCTCCTTCTCCTGTCGGCTGGGACTGTAGGTGCCATGTGTGGCGCGTCGATTTAGCGCCACCACCAGGCCGACAGAGGTGAGGATGAGAACCAGCAGCAGAATAACTGATGCCAGACTGACGGACAGCAACAGGTCAGAAGTCAAACCCTCAGCGGTCAACTGCAGGAAAA